TTATTTTGAAATTTACCAATCTTTAATTAAATCAAAAGCATTTTTAAAGTCTAAAGCTATTATTTGTTCTTCAGTTATATCTTCCTTCACCTCTTCATCATCTTCTGTTACGTGGGATTCTTCATCTTCATTCAACAACTCATTCAAATTTTCTTTTCCTAGTCTTTTTATGTAAGAAGTTACATTGGAAATTATACCTTCTTTATAAAATTCCAAGCAATAGGTACATTGATTTTTTTTCATTTCATAACAATTTTTGTGGAATGCATGACCACATATTAACATTATTGCATCTTGATCATAATTATCTTCAAAATTAGAATAACAATAATCACATTTATTATAAGATGGTGGTTGCTGGGTATGATATCCTGTTGGAATACACTTTGATTTGACTTCTTTATTTAATGTTTTTAAGTAATATTCTTTGTTGCTAAGTTTTTTACTTCCTCCCACATTTAGATAAATTTTATGAAAATAATCAATTAAGAACAAACTTGTTTTATATTTAAGAAAATTAAACATGGATTCTTTGTAAGGGCATTTTTTCAATTTTTTAAATGTGTTGATAAATGATTGATCCTGAGCATCTAATACTAATGCTTGTAAAGTTATTGCTTCAGCTGAATATTGTGGACTGGTATTAGCTCTAATTTTACTATGCCAATTTTCAACATAGTAGTCATTGAAATTAACAAGTTGAGATTGAATTGCTTCAAGAAATGGATGGTTGTTGTCTTTCCAGTAGAAATAATCGGAAAGAAAGGCAAGTGGTATTTTATTATAATTTTTCCGTTTCCATCTTAAAGCAAAGCTCCATAATCTAAAAATTGTATCTATGTATTCTTTGAAAGAACCTGATCAAAAAATAATAGCATAAATGTCCAATGCAGCTGGAATCAAATTATCAAAAGATCTATCATTGTTTGATATTCCAAATCTTTACACACACCACCAAATTTTTTATATATTTCTGAAGAGACTTCAATCCAGGCAGACCTAAGAAGTTCAAGGAGTTGATTTATTCTCCAGGGCTTGGGTTTTGCTGCCAACACTTTATTAATTCCAAAGACTGATTTATACATTATTTCAAAAAAGTCCCAATGCACAACCACTATATTTTCCCTCATGTTCAATGAGACATGTAATGGACCAAGAATTGGAACAAAATTATTGATTATTGAAGGTATTTGGTGAAAATTATTATCTTGCTGATTTTGATGTTTATGAAGAAGAGTTATTGCTTTACATATAAATAATTGGCCTGGGAAGTCTGCAATAACTGGTATAATATTATTTTGTAGGTAATTATTTAAAGAAGGAATTCCAGTTATCATTTTAAAAGCATTTAAATAATCATCCAAATTTTTTAAATTTAATTCCTTGATATCAACTAAATGGCAATTTTTCATAGATCTATCATCACGAAGACTTTCTATGGCATAATTATATGAATGAATTGACAAAAGATCTAGTCTATCAAATTGTTCAAAGGTAGCTGCATTATTTTCTCAGCCAACTATGTTTTACTGCATTATAACTTATACTTAATGAACTAAAATATTTATCATTTAAATATTTAATAATCCTATCTGCTTCAATATTTTTAGGGTTATGTACTGGAATGCCATCAACATATGCTGGTACAGCATTACTATCTTTTACAGTTTTAGAAACACAAGTAGCCATATGACAAGCTGTTGAAAGCGTTGTTGTGTTGGGATTTCTGTAACCATGGATTGAATGGTAATCATCTATATTAAAACAAAATAGTTTACTTGCATTCTCTTCAAATAATTATTAATTTTTTCTTTATGATTACTAGAAATTTTCTTCTTATGTCTATCTAATTTTTTATAAGACACTGAAATTCCTAATCTTGACATTATATCAATACATTCTACGGTTGCACCAGAAGCAGATAAGTAGAGTCCTATTTCTAACTGAGGCGAATTATTTTGTTGATTTTTTAATCCAACTAATAAGTAACAGAATCCTACAAGTGATTTTTTGGCATTTTCTATACTATCTTTATTATCTCCAGATTTTTTAAATGATAAGAAGATGTGAACCAACTCATCAAAAAAACCTTTTAGCTCTGGCTCATGTTGCTCAATCATATTTTTGAAATTTTCTGGATCCAATTCAACATCTAAATTTAAGTTTCTTTGCCTTATGTATAAAAGATCAGATAGTAATTCAAATTTATTATGAAATTGATTTAAGTACTCTTTATTATTTTCATATTGATTAACCTTTATTTGCATTTCTTTTATTTTATTAATTAGGCAATCAAAATCATTTCTAGATAACAATACTGCATCATCTTGAACATCAACATCTATATTTGACCAATTGTCTAGGTTTATTTGATTATCATTAATTAAGTTTCCTAACAATTCAGATAATTTGAATTCAGTGTTATTAGTATCAACATCTTCTATAATGTCATCAATTTCAATAATATTATTATCATCTTCAAAATCTTGTGACTTTCTTTTTTGATTATTTGATTTATTTCTACTTGATTGTACAATTGATAAGTAATGTTTAGGACAAAGTTGATCATTAATTTCAAGGTAATTATAATCCTCATATGTGCCATGATTTTTAGCATTTTTTAAACCATCTTTGGTGAATCTTCTAAATTTAACATCTTTTGCTTCACAATTTAAAACATTGCATGGGCCTAAATTTTTAGTAGTCATTTTATTGGTTATAAAAATATTATTTAAGAAAAATGGGGATTTAAAATTGTTTTTTTGTTTATTATTTTTTAAATAAATTTTTATAAATAAATTTTTATAAATTTTAAGATGTTATATGTTAATATTATTCATATTATTCAGGAATAAATTTTTAATCGGCCGCGTTTTTTTATTTTTAGAATTTGTGTAATAATCGTCAAACCAATCAAAATTATATTTTATGTGATAATTGGAAATAAGATCGACTAAAATCTGGCCAATGAAATAGTTGTTTTTGTGATCTGCAACAGTGTCCACTATGCTGTTTCAACCTAGGTCACAACTGGTTGCAAAATTTCAAATCAGTTGCAGACACCAACTTTAGAGGCATGGTTAGATTTGAATGTTAAATCTGGGCATCGATTTTTTGGTAACTTTATGATTATAATTTGAAACTATTGACTATTTTTTGGTAGGCTTATGAAGCAGTTTAAAATACATGTAATACATGGTTTTGGAAGTTGTATGACCTTTTAATAAAGCTCTCGCCAAGTTTTTCTTCATATGAACCATTTTTCAATGAAAGATCCACATGTTTTAGCCAATAATATTTGTTTTGATTTTTTCTGGGTTACGTAACTTTAGAAATTTTGGAGCTATTTTTATAAATTTAAATTAAAAAGATAGCCAGATACTCAGAGTTTTATTTAGTAATTTTAAAGTACAAATCTACATGTAAAATATTGTGCTATTTCTGCAGCAGTTCCAGATTATGGACACTAATTGATTTTACTATGATGCTTATCCCGGAATTTTACAATGTAGATCCTTTCCTTCATTGATGGATCACGAATTAATTGTTGATCAGATATTATACATGAACATTTTGGGCTCAATCATAACTATAATGAGCAGTAGAATCAATACTGCAATATTGTGTTTACCTTTGGAATAATTTTGGTCAACTAGTTTTCTTTGTTCTTCTGCTAATTTGGTATTTTATTATAATAATTTCTTTCTAATCTTTATATACCCTATAAAAAATTTGGTACAGAAAATGTATGGAAAACTGCACGGAAATGCATAGGAAAATGCGAATTTCCATACAAATTCCATGCAGTTTTCCATACCAAATTTTTTATATAACAAATACTCATGGTTATTTATGAAAATAAAACTTAGTTTTTACAAGCATGGTTGGGGTGTTACAAATTTCAATAAACACAAACATAGTTGACCACACATATAAAAAGTCATATATATGGATTTTTCGCTGATCAATATATGTAAAAAATTTTAATATAAAAATTCAAACTCTATCTCCTTCAGATTTGTAAAGTATACCACTATTCAAAATTGGTATATGAATATTTCATAACACATACTTCAAAACAACGGTTTTGATTTTTTGATTTTTTGTTTAAAAAAACGTTGTATTCTCAAAAAAAAAATTTAAACAAGAATTAAGGAAAATTTTTATAAATTTTTTAAAATTCTACAACCGTTAAATGAAAGAGCAAGTTCCAAACTTTCATTTAATATCAGTTTTATAATTGTAAGAAAAATATTGGTGGACAAGATAGATTTTGAAATTTCGTAGAGATTTATTATTATTTACAGTAATATGATGATCATCACATTCTCATATTCTCTTTAATCATTACTTCAACTTGTATGTTGTATAGATCAGGGGCAATGATTTCTGTGGTGATAAATGCTAATTCCGTAAGTGCTAAAGACAAATTCCGCATGCATACCGTGCATTAAAAAAAAAAAAAATAGAAAATTCTAAATATTTAAACTGCATAAAGACTTCCTACTTCGTTCTACACTATAATAATAAGAAGAAATTGGTAACACTTATTAAATTCCATTTTTTATCTGCGGTACATTATAGTATTTCTGGTTTTAAACATTCCATGATTTCTGCGGCATTCTGCGCTATGCAGAAAATCATCTCTGGTATAGATAGTAATAAACAAAGTTGAAGTCATGGAGTTATCCACAAAAAAATAGAAGGGTTATTCCATGCATGACTAATTATTTTATTAGTAATCTTTTTTAACATTTCCTCTACTTGCGTAACAAACTTTGAATTATTAATATGAATTGATTTTTTTATCAATCGCATAACAACTTTGGATTATTAATTATGATGTGAATTAATTTTACAAAGAAACATCTTTTCTGACTATTCGCGTAACCAACCTTGGATTATTAATTTTACAAAGAAACGTCTTTTCCAATTATTTGCGTAACAAACTTTGGATTGATTTTTTTATTAATCACAATAAAGGAAACATCTTTTCTGACTATTCGCGTAACAAACTTTGGATTATTAATTTTTCA